CGATATGAGTCCAAGTATTAAACTACAATGCAGGAATCATTCCTGCTGTTAGCGACCTGCAAGTTTAGCGTAAAAATGCACCATCGCAACAGCAAATCAGGTGCTTTCCAGCCTGGCTTGCACTTGGACATATGCAAAAACACGTAAAAACACATATTGTGATGACCCGTTGCGTGTGTGTGTGTGTGTGTTTGACCGGGCGCAAGTTTCGACGCTGATTTGCAAGTGAGTTCCCCGGCCAAGTTACTACTCTGCGGTGAAATCTTTCATGCATGTTTGGGCCTTGCGTACGAGCATTTAAAGCTTTCGATGGACAATTCTAAATCGGGAACCAGAAAAGCTGAGTGACTGAATTTTTAGGGGAATGTTTCCCCTCGTAGAATTTTTTAAATTCAGCTCCCATGAGTGTATATTTCTCGTCTACGGATCCATGAATTCTTTGGTGAAAGAACTGCTTACTCGGTAACCAGAAAAGCAGGATTCCAAGCAGCCTTACCACAACACGAAATACTGTAAAAATGCGCGTTTGCACGTGCCCACCTAATACGCTTTGCCAGTGCTTTTAAAACTCGAGAATCGCAGCCATTATGAAAATATACTCTTTTAGTTTAGCTTACAAGCTTCTGTTTGTTAAATTGAAGATGGATGACAAATGCATTTAACACGCACACACACAACTTCTCGACAATACGTTTTCGGTCACTGTTGCAGTAGCACTATTACTATGTTCGATGTAAACTGTTTCTCTCCAATCCCATCTGCACCTGTTCCAATATATGCATAAGGAAGTAGCGTTAGCTCAAGATGCTGGATTTTTTCTACATACGCAATCAGCTCTGATTAATTTTGGGGTGTATTTGCCCTTCATAAAGAACGAGTAATGAGGGGGTTTTTATTTTCGACAGTCAGGCTGAGATGCAAATCAACAAGTCGTCTTTGAAGCGGAATCTTTACAAGTCGGCAAAATTATCACTCCTCGACGCAGCCGTATTCAAAATGTCAGTTCTGAACGTTGACGATGATGTTGACAAAAACCACTTGAACCGCATGATTCTAGTATGTCACCAAATTTGCGCAAGATCAACTGAAACTCCGTCCGTATTTTCTCTCGGTTTCCGAAAAATTTTTTCTAAACTGATAATCGGGAATTCGACGACCATGGCAAGCACATAAGCCACAACAAATGTAAGGAGTAGTTGAATTGCAGAAAGATAGAATATTGGCTCGCTGCTTCTGTATCGATGCGGGAATTTCATCCACAAAAATGTCGCATGTTGGACGATCATGTGAAGTAGGTACATCTGAAAAGCCGTTGTCAAATTTTTGCGCGACACAAACCAGATCGTTCAAAATTTTTTTCGCGTAATCTCTGTACTGCGTAATTCATATTGCAAGAAAACATCTGCTGGATCGGTCTCTCTGCACATGTCAAGAACAAATGCGAAGCCAAGAAAACTGGCAATTCAGCCTCTAGCAGCCGATGTCAGTCACAGTGATGACAGTTGAGAAAAAAGCTTTTAACATTTTTTGAAACTGGAAATGTTTTCATCTAATAACTGTAAAAGGCGGTAAGGGAGCAATGATCTATTAGTCATAAGTTGGCAAATTTTGCAATTCGGGAAATAGATCTGAAGAAGCAAACCGAGTAAGAGAGTGCCGAAAAGGGTATAAAAATTCTGGAGCTCAAAAATTTGTTAACATATCCGCCATGGCCAGTGTGACACGCGAAGATGATCCACGCAATGCCAAAAGCCCAGGCCAGTCGACTTGTTGCCCCATAGAGGACATGATAAATGGGCGAATACCAGCCCTGTAAACTTTCCGCACTCATTACTTTGCTAGTTCGATTAGCTATTGTTTCACAGTTGAGTTCTTTCTTGAAAATGGTGAGTCTGGTACCAGATTTATGTCAGCTCCTCACTACTGTGCCTTCTAAAAGGCATCGCAATTTAGTGCATTAATTTATTTCATTAATCCTGCATCGTGTTTTGATTTGTTTTCTCACTTTTTACGCGCTTTTTGCATCTATGCAATATAGAAAACCATGCTTGTGAAGGGTTTTCTGTGTGTGTGTCTGTTTGTCTGTGTGTGTCTGTGTGTGCTTCTGTACCGATTTTTCATCTCAAGATCTGTAAAAGCTACGGGGCTAAAGGTTCAGAAACTTAGTCTACATAAACGTATAGGCCTTAATCCCCCAAAAAGACGCTTTTTGTGGTGCTCACGTGCGAGCCCGACAAAGTTTTTGGCAGGGAAGTTGCTAACTTGCAAACTAGGGAAGATAGAAATCTGAAATTTCGAGAGATGTTCCCCATTAATGTAGGTATTAATGAGCTCAAAGCTAGCCCCCGGGTATACGTGGTCACCATGTACTAGGCCATGAAAGTTTTTTGGGTAAGTTGCTAACTCGGGAATCTGAAAAGTCAGTGGTTCTTATATAAAAGCCTGTGAAAGTTTTTGTGGATAAGTTACTAACTCGGAAACCAGGAAAGCCAGAACTCCGAGATTTTAAGGGGATGCTTCCTGACAGTTCTGGGTCCAGTCTCAATTCTTTTAGCTAAAAGCATCTGCCGGAAAAAGCATCTGCTGGGTCCAGTCTCAATTCTTTTAGCTAAAAGCATCTGCCGGAAAAAACAGTGCCGTTAACGAGAAAAATCTGTGAGGAACTGTACAAAAAATGCATCTTCTCACCGGCGTACGTGTGCTGGCGCCATTTATTTCATCTGTGCTCAAACGCATAGTCACCCTCAAGGGATAAAGTTCAAACAATCTGTTAAAATATTACCGGCCAAAAATCACTACATCACAGTACTAATATTTTAGCTAATCAGCAATTGGTAACGGATTAGTGAAGTTAAACTTCTGAAAGAAATGGAGGTTCTCTTGGTAATCTTTCAGTACAAATCTAAGGCAAACAGTCTCTCGCACAACTTGATGAATTCATGTCAAATTCGTAGAATTTCAGTCTTTTTGAACTTTACGCGAAATAACCGTGACTAAAAAAAATCACCAAGTCCGTGCTATTTCAGCAAAAAAGGTTTCAAAGTTTTTACACAAACTTAATAAAATTTAATGAATCGGTGCGGCATTTATAAGGTCTAGTCACCATACTAAAAAAACGCGCAGAACTCGATGGACTGCAACGCCCTTATCACAACTTCTAATATCTGATGCATACATACATATATGCATATGGTGTCGCACCTGGTGCTACATAAACATACTTGTATATAAACATATGTACACATAAATATATGAATCACCTTCGATTAACCATATGTTTACATTGTGTGCGTATATGTAAATGTATACTGTAGATATATGCATATACATAAGTAGCTAAATATACTACTTCGATTTTTTTCCATCTTCGTTTATAATTTTTTTCTTTACTTTTATTTATTTATAAATGCATTTTCTTTCAATTCTGAATGAATTTTCTTCTTTACTTTTATTTATTTATAATTACGTGAAAAATTATCATACGTGTTGAAGCGGATAAAGTCCGAAAAGCGACCATGTTAAAAACAGAGCGCAGGAATACCATCCTACATTGTAAAATGTTGCCACAGTACGATATTCCAGATTGTTATAATCGAACAGGTAAAGTTTTTGCTTCGCTACTATAATGTAGCCTAGAAGAATGCCAATCACATACACGCCAGCGTGATACTGCGGCCTGATTATAAACTCGGTTGTATGCTGAAATTTGCATTTCGTAAATATTGGCCAAAATTAAAGTTAAAATCTCTTTCGTGTTTACTTCCTGTAGAAGTAGAAGCATTTGAAAGTAATCCAAATGATAGTCATTACGAGCATCAACGACCCACAGGCAAAGCTGTCAAACTCTCGATACGTGCAAAAAAGGCTCTTAAAAAATTGCTCGGAAAAGAATTTGACTGAAAATAGGAGGCATTTGTAAAACTCTGGACTGTAGGTGTGTATTTTATCCATGCTTTGTTTTCTCACCATGCTACCAAAAACATCAGTACCTCTACTAATTGTATAATTAATCCAGGTTTTTGTGCACCTTAGGGTAGACTTTGCGGCTGCTCGATTTTGCTCTGCATAGGTCAACAACTATTCTATCACTCCAAGTGTCGCTCAGTTATCACTGAGGCGAGTATAGCGAGTAATCACAGCTTTCCATTAGATGTCTTATAGAAGTTACCTGGATGAAATTACCGTTGAAGATGTTGGGCTGCCAAAATGGCATGGCCACTGGAGGAAATCCGTGCATGCACATCATGAAAGCAATGTAGCCAGTCGAAAATACACAGATCAGTGCCATCATTACCAGTGAAGCGGGCAGGATCAGCGAGCTGCACATCGAAATGAGAAGCAGCGGAGAAAAGAAGAATAGCACAAAGTCTGTCCCAATAAACCTGAGTGAGAGTGAATCTCAATAAGAAAAATTTGAATTTAAAAAAAAATTCTTTCAAAAGAAGAACGGCCCCGGATTTTAGGCATAAAGCAGTCCAAGGTTAAATTTTAATGCAGTACTTGATAAGGCTGCTAATTCACTAATAATTTAAGTGATTATGCCATAGCAGTCTATTGTTATGCAGTCAAATTCAAAGCATACATGAATATGATTTTTTTGAAAAAATACTTCACAAAATTAAACAGCACGAGAAATACTGGCAAAAAAATGCTGGGTGATAAAGTTAGCCTAAAATTTCGTTCGACTAATCGTCTCATATTGGAAAAATAAATCGTAATAAAGAAGCAATTAAAACTGAAAGACGAAAATAGTAATACTGGCAGCAGTGATAGTGATGATAATAACAATGATAACGATAATGATGATAATACTAATAATAGAAAGGAGAGACAGTAACAGTGAAAAGCAAAGAAAGCAAGACAAAATGGTGGATAACTGAAAAAATAGTAAGCTGCAGAAGGGCGATTACTAGCTATGAATCAGAAGCAAGTGTTGTTTCGTGAATTAGCGCCAGAAACCACTGCAGAAGCAAATTTATTTTTTACTAAAGCTACAGAACTTACCAAGTCCATCCAATGCACTGAGACCCGAAGATACTGTTAAGAAAGAACACATTATGCCACCAGTACTGCCGGCACTGCAAACTCGGGTCCATTGATGGCCAAATCGGATAGGTAGGCACAAATGACAGCCAGAATGTGGCCAGTGCAATGGTGACAATGTAAGCTGGCCACAGACGGAGTAAACGATGGCCATAGAAGCGAATCCAGTACCGCACAGTTAGCAGTTCATAGCTTGCCTTACCTGGATTACATTCAATTTGTCAATTATGTGGTGATCAAAAAGTGCACAAAATGTATCTTGAACATTAAAATTTCTACATGTATTCAAGAATTCTTGAGAGGTAATGAGTTCAAAAAAAACTCTTTCCGAGGCAAATCACTCCAAAACCGGCTCCCAAATGTTCACACTTGACTTCCTTGCTGTCAAAAAAAAAAAAATTATTTTGCTAGACTGATTGTTACGACGATCCGGGCTGCAGTGTTCCGTTTGAGCTTAAGCACTTTTCACTGATTTAATTTTTATGACGTTTTAAAACGGATTTACTTCAAAAATGAAATGAAACATTCTTTTTTTTCTTTTTTTGCACTGTTTTTTTAAAATTATCATGTCCTCCCAGATCATTATTATGAAGCATTTTCAAGTGGGAACTGGGAACTGTTGTTGCCTTCTCTGTTTACACTCTGCCTTTCTTCTACAGTTACGTTTTGCTCATTTCATTAACCTCTAATTTCTCCTGTTTGTCACATAGCAGTAATGTACGTCACAACCAGTGCATTAGCAGGATCAAACTGTAGCACTGAGTTAAAAAATATGCAAAAAAAAAAAAAAACACTCCTTAAAACAGGACCGAAACTCCTTAACCTCAGCTAAATTACTAATATTTTACTACAGGTTTCAATCCTCAATATTTTCAGTATACTTCACTATTAATTAATATCCGTTCGAGGAATAACGTTTATGATGCTGCTTAATTCTAAAAAGTATTTTAGCATCTAATGTCGAAAAAAAATGGTAATTTCATTGCTTCTCACCTGTACGTGACAAATTTTCATTGAAAAAACTATAAGCTGAAAGCGTAGCGCTGAGCACAAAAAAGGTATCGACAGCGAGCGAAAAATTCGTTATCCAGATATTACTCACATGATAGGTCATTTCATTTTTGAACTCGTCGACATTCTCCACAAACGGCTGAAAAAAGTCTTTTGAGGAACATCGTTTTTCCACATTTTTGCATTGACGCGATAACGAAAAACAGTGCTGGCTAAAACCGGAGAATGTACATGTCCCCTTTTTTACTTGAATCAGTTGAAAGGCTGGAATTTTGAAAATATATTCCATGGCCACGCTCACAAGGCTTTGGGCAAGGCTTCTAGAGTTTTCCGATTTGGTTAATTTGGATGAATTTCAAAACTGGATGAAAGTCCGAGAAACGGCAAGCAGAGATCCAATCACGAGATTTTTGTGTGGCATTGCTAGACACATCAAGAGTGGAGCGGAGCTGTCCACTTGCTTTAATAGAAAAACGAAACTGTTCTTCGTGGCGCTAATGAATTTAAAAAAAAGTGAGACAAAGTTTAAGAAATCTCGGAGATTAATAACAAAAATATTAGGACTAATCGAATTGCTGTCAGCATGAATTTCCAATGTTACTGACTGTAAAGGAATGCCAAACACGTTGGCACAACTATGCCAATCTCTTCGAATGCGGACTTCTCATCTTCAGTTAGTATCCGCTGCTTGTTTGGTACGGTATCTCTGTGGGGATTTCCCGAGCCGTCATTTACTTTTTCGCGGGTACTACTCATTAATGCACTATGTCCGACAGCTGTTAGTTTACAAACTAAGCAACCTACTCCGCTCAGTGGATTTCACTTTCTCACGTGGTCGCGGTGATGTTCTTCCCACAGTACGTTTGACGGGAAGTCCAACTGTTTAATCATAAAGAGACATGTGAAGTACTCTTCGTTTCACCGGCTCATCCATCATAGCCGCTGATTAATACAGTGCTGAACTGCAAAATTTTAACTGGGCATTCGGACACCTTTTATAAACTTTTATCCATATCGAGCCGTTGAGAGCCCCAGCCTCACAAATACGCTTAAGAAAAGATGTGAGGGTTATATTTTGCTGAAATTTGTTCTGCAAAAATGTCGTTGCTTGTAGAGTGTTTGGGGGGGGGGGGGGGGGGGGGGG